TGTGCTAAGGAGGATCTGCTGCCCTGACTGTACCAATAAATTCTGCAACTAGCAAGCTCTTTGTAAATTAGTGCTTTTGTTTTTACACTCTTAATCCAGCTCCAGGAAGAGAAGCAGCGATCCAACAGAGGGTGTGAAAGCTGTAAGCACCATCAGGCCTTGCTTGCCTTCCCAAAGGACTATAAGTCTCCAGGTAAATCTTCTGTAGTTCACAGTCCTCCACCCTAACACGACGCTGAAGGACAACCAAGCACCATCCTTCAGTTTCCCAGATGCAGCACATTCAGCATGCAAAGTTCAGGCTTGCTCAGTCACTCCATGAGCTTCTCTAGAACACAGCATGAAACAGAAACCTCACAAGGTCAGCTCATATGTGACACAGATGAACTGTATATATACTAATATATTTAGGAAGCTCATTTACATTTTTAACATAGAACTCCAGATGTCCTTCTTAAACACAAAAGAAAACTCAAATCAAAAAGCAATCCAAAACTCGAATTTCTATGAAACTGGAGTTTTCTTGTTAGCTACCATCCACTGAAACTCTACAAGTTTTGCTTTCAGTGTGTTCACTGCAATGTAATTAACACTTTCCCCCTGGGTTTCAGTGAAGAGATAACCAAAGAAATGACTGCATCTCAAAGAGTTAACCACAGCTCCACCATCCTACCCTCTCTTCCCGAGGCTCCTGTCTAAAAAGGTTTGAATAACTGCTAGAATTAGGACATTAATTTTTGGTCACTTCCCATTAAAATTACTGTTCAACTTGTTTTCTTTATCACATATTTGTGTGCATCCAGATAACGAAACAGTTTTACTTCAGGCTACAGTAAAAATTAGTTACCAAGGTCATAGCAAAACTTCCACTTGCATAAGATGGTGATAGGGCTCTTTGCTGACAAATTTTACCAGATGCTAAGAACTGCTCTGATACCAGAATGTTAGGTGCCAGCTCAGCCTTGCAGAACAGGAAGATGGAACGAAGCAATATGGCATCATGCAAATCAGCACATCCTAAATTGTTCAAAGCAGCGGTGCTTCCTGCCCCATTTTCAAGTAGTACAGATTTGCCCATCAAGTACTACAGGTTTGGAAATCCCTTTTTCCTCCACTGCTATCTGCCAGAAGGCACTGACACCAAGAGTCAGATAGGGAGAACATGTAATACCTGGACTCCAACAACTTCTGAGCGAAGGAGAAAGCTGGTGGCTGGTAAATAGCTCCCCTTTACCTTACTGCAAAACACTCGGCTTCGGGCTGCAGCCCTTGGGTGCAGAGGGAACTCAGGTTACGTGTAAGACATCGATGAAGTCAAACGTGTTTTCAGGATGTTGTTACTCACTATATAGAGATCCATCAGCAATACAGAAGACATGTGGATCTATTCATCCAAAACCACTGAAAAATCCCTATACAACAACATACCCATAGTGACTTAAGTATCACTGGAAAACTTACTGGGTGACCCTGTGACTTAATCCAGACTGCATGTCCCAAAAACAGCCTTGAAGCCTGCACCTTCCTTAAAAGCAATCTAGCTCTGATGACTAAAGAAACTTGACTTTTTACATTTATCAGGTTAACATTTATATACTTCACATTATGTTTCAGAACTCACTTCAGTAAAGCAATAAAATTGGAAAGTAACAAAAATTATTATTGCAAAACTTATGCATTTTAGCAGTATTTATTTAATTGGATGGGATTATCCACAGTCCACCATTCTCCTGAACCTTCCTGCAGAGCTGAAAAGCCCCAGCTAACTCTTCTTAAACCGTTCAATCCTGGGGTTTGGGAGTATTTTCAAGATTTTAAGTAGAGAAGGCTGATGCTTCATGAAAGGCATTGAAAATGAAGGCTCTGTAAAAGAAATTAAAGCCCAGAGCCATAAAAGGATGCAAGTGCCTAAATACTACCTTGCTGCTACTGTAAGCAACAAGTTAAATTCTCAAAACTCTCCTCATGCCCAGCAGCATCAAAACCTTCCTGGAGGAATTGCCAAAGTACTGACAAAGGTGCTTCATCCCTCCTGCTGAAGTCATTCCAACCTGAGTGATTTGGCCAGAGGGAGGAGAAGGTGAATGCCTGAAAAAGCAGAGCTTTGGGAACAGAGAGGTGTCTGTTCCAACTCCTAAGCCACCAACCACTGCTATCATGATTCTGTAGAAGGATTTGAGAGCTCACTTCTCATTCTCACAGACAGGCAGCAGGCTTATTGTTTGGCTAGACAGTAAGTTCTTCAAAAGTGCAGACTGGAACTCAGTCTGCTCTTTGTGGGCTTGCTGAGGGAACGCTTTACTGACAGGAAAAGCCTTATTTACTTGTACAGGTGTTCGAGAGCTGTGAACCCCCCTCAGTGAGATTCACCCAGCAGGTATCTACAACTTTGGAACAGCAAGTTGAAGACAACTCAAGGCTGACTGGGTCATACTATGACTGGGTCAGTTATTAATGTGCTGGATTGTAAATCTTGACCTTAAGTTGACAAGCTCCCAAAGTTCTTTATTCCTTAGATACATCTCCTATTGGCAGCTGCCTTCATCCTTGTTTATCTTACTTGGTCTCTCCACTTTAAGGCTTCTAAGGTTTTCTTGACAGAAAACAATTCACATTCACTGTACAGCATGCACTTGTAATTACTAATCAAGGGTATACTTTTGAACCTTTTTTCCTATGTTCAGCTTGCTGGAAAACACAACAGGAAGTGTATTTGAAGATTGATTTGAAGTATTTAGAAAAACAACAAAACAAAATCTCTCTTGAAAAAGATAAACAATAGCAGAAAACAGGCATAAAGAATTTTACATCTGCCTTGAACACTACAGAAAAGCACACTTCAGCAGCTTTGCACTAGTGTGACTCAGGAACAGGTACTTTTGTCTACACTTACCTTTAAATACTTTTTCTAAAAGTAAATTCAACTAGAACATTTCAGGTAAAAGGTAAAAGTATTTTAGATGGGAAATATTGTTCAATGATGTGTGAGACACCTGGAATTTTCATTCTCATATCTAAACTGGGTGTGTAACTCCATGCAACAAAAACGCCTCCCTCCTTTACCACATGTACTTCGTCCTTGGCAGAAATCAATATATAAGTAGCATACTGCACACATCTAACACACTCAGAGCTACCTGGATGTACCAGACTCATCGTGCAATACTGTAAGCAAAACTGGAACATATGGTGTTGTAGTACCTATAAACCTCAAAATGAGACCTACACAAACACCCCGACAGAGCTGTCAGATAGCCAGGAAACCCAGGCAAACACAGAAAAACAAAAATAAAACATTAAGAAAGAGGGTACAGTTCATAAAACTCAGGTTACAGGTATCATAGAGAAACAGTAGATGATGAGAGCTCTTAACCAGAACAATGAGAACATGTTGAGTAGGCATAATGTAAATAGAAGACACCAAAATTAACCCACCCACAACATCACAGCAACATTCCCTCCTAAACAAAAGTATTTCACTTTTAGCCATTAAGTTTTCCACTATAAAACTATCTTTATAGAGGAAAACTGGCAATTTTTCATAAAGCCTGTAGCACGCAGTTTCCCTTTCAGTAGAAACTTAATGTGTAAGTTATAATTGGTCTTAAAGTGCATGCCACAGAATAACCCCAGAAGTCCTTGAGATAAAATAAAATACTTTGATTTGTTTCAAACAACTCCATTGGTAAGAAGGTACTGTAATGTACCATTTCTGGAAGAAGTGGACACTGTTTTCTAACATGATCAGTGCTGGATACCACTCATTCACTCACTCCTTAAATCAACACTCTTTAAATAATTTGTTGGGGACTGACCCTTTGGGCACTCCAGCTTATCCAGCCTGTGTAGCACCCATCTGCTCCAGGTCACCATTTAAAGGATCTGCAGTGAATCACTATTTCAAGTATCAACATATCTAGCTTTAATAAAGTACTCTTTCTGAAGATCAGTTCTGGGGTAACATCTTGGCTTTCATAAATCCACAGATATTCCAGCTGAACAGGTGAAACAGAGAAGGAAACAGAGAAGTGGCAATGTAATAGGCCCCGACAAATTATCCAGCATAACTTCCATAAAAACAAATCAAACAACCTTTTTTATTATCAGTAATATACATATATAATTGCATACAAAATCAAAATGTAATCAAATGTGTACAAAATTCAAATTGTTCTTGTATAAAATTTCCAAATAAGTAATACTAAAATTTGAAACCACACAACAAGAACCAAACTGCTTGCTAACCGCCTATTTCTTCTACTTCATATTAACTTGTCTGCATCACTTGGAAAAATAAAATGAGCTGTCAGTGTAAATCACAAACACTTTTCACCGTGACAATCATAACAGTATTAATCTCTCTGCAATAGGCAACTAGGATGAGAGGTAATTAAAATGTCAAAGCTAAGAAAAAAAACCATTCTTTTGAAATTACTTTAAGAAATAACTCCTCCTAAATACCTGAGTTTGAAGTGGGGCTGGGGAACACCATTGGTTAAGGTGGCTGAGTTTGCTTTTTCTAGAGAAGCTGAAATTAACAGTAAACATCTTATGGTCTCAGTCTACAAGACAAGCATTTAAACCAGTAAATCTGACAAACTGCAGTACTGTACACACTGAACTCTAATAGTCTTTCTTGTGGACAAGGAAGAAATTCTAATGCTTCATGTCCTTTTCTCAAACTCCTGTATGTTCCATATTTGCACCATTAGGAAATAAGAATCTTTTTGTAACAGGTTAAAAGCAGTTAAGTAGCAAAAGTAACTTTTTGTTCCAGTACTGTGTTGTGCTGACAATTCATACAGTGACATAAACAAATATACCATTGTTGCCTTTAGGATAACTACTTAAAATAATGCAACTGAGGTATTTGATGAAAGATGGTGCTGCCCCTGAATACTGTTCCAGGTCATACTGCCTGACTGCAGCAAAATACCTTGAAAAGTAAGACATGGGTTCCATAAAAAAATAATTATCTCAGTTTCAAGAGGTGCCACGTGGCTGTAGAGACATAGTGAATTAAGACCAAACTCTCACATATAAAGGACGTTCATTTTCAACACCAGTTTAAATATTTAATTTTCAGTCAGGATGGCAAGTCCTAAAACTGGGGCCTTATCAGAGGTTAAGTGAAAGAATGCAGCATTACCATGTGATCCACAACCACAATTTTTTTTTAAATGTACCCTACAAACTATAAAAGATAAATCGTTTTACAGAATAGTTGCTACACAACAGGTGGGAGACACTATGTCTTGCTCCAGAAATCCTTCCTCTTCTGAGCTCGTTCCAGTATCTGAGATGCAAGAGAGCTGGATGCTGCCGAGCGAGCAGAAATCTGAGACAACCTGTCATCTGTGAGGAAAGCAATAAAGGAAAAATAGGAAGATTAAACATATATATCAAAACACAGCTGACACTCTTGGCAGACTCTGAGAGTGTAAATATTTTTATGCCCTCTTTCACAATGGATGTTAAAATAGTACCACAATACACTTTAATTCAATTAGTTGGCATCTGACGTGCTGGAGAAGAACCCCACAAGAAACCTTCTAGGATGTTAGAAAAGTTTAAGAGAGTTACACGCCCAACTCTTGACAAACTCCAGAATGACATCCCTAGGTTCTCCAAGTCATTTTTACATTTATTCTCCTGTGTCAGAAGAGCTTAGGAATTGTTCCTCTGCCATTGAAATCTGTATAGACTAGACTCAGATAATAACTTATTCTTGAAAGCAACCCACCGTTTCAAGCAAGGCAGACAACCTTAAAATAACATGACTAAAATATCAGAACCCATGTTGCCAAGAGTCCTTCTGTGCCAAATGCAACTTGTGTCACAAGCCGTTGAAAGAAAGGTGTATTCTGAAAAAAATTTACCACAAAGACAACAAGAAGCATACTTTAGAAATATACTTTGGAAGGGTCTTTCACTGGAATATAGGATCCACTTCACATACAGTAGAACTCTTAAAACTGATAAGTTGCTTGTCTGATAAAGCACATTATAATTCTTTAACAGCATTATTAAAACGTTGCTACAACTCTGACAAGATGCTATCTACAAAAAATGTCCTTAATTACACTCCTGCAATGGATTAAAAAGAACTGTATCACTACCTTCCAGCCCCCTCACCAAAAAAAAAAAAACCAAGAAAAAAATTCCTCAACTAAATCCAAACAGCATCTCTACTTTGTCAGTGTTTGAATTAACTTTTTAGCAGAACTTATAAATTCTTAAAATACAGCAATCCAAACAGCCCATAATAGGCTCAGACACTATGCATAACAACTATATTCCCATGTATGAGAAAACTGCTAACTGCACTTCTGCAAACAGACATGTCACTGGAAGAACTCCACGAACAAATATGAACATACAAAAAATCTGTGAGTTGTCACATTTCATCTGTTTCTGAAAGCTCATACATCATCATTCAGCTCATAGGGAAAAAAAATAACACAGCAGTTACAACATTTAATCTGTGTGTAGCAAAGCTTGTGGGAAGCTGCAGAGTACTACAGGATTTTGCATGTTTTATGTAGTTACACAGATGCTTGTCTGAGCCATCTGCACAACCCACATATTTTTCAGGCAACTGCAATGAGTAAGATAGAGAATCAGCCTGAAACTTGGTTAAAACCAAGGAGCAAAGGAAGCACAAGGGGTACAGAAAAAAAGCTTTTGGTCGTTCTGGGGTATAACTATAAATAAACTATAATCAGATATAAGCTTGGTCTATCCATAATCTCATCTGAACCAGACAAACGTGACTGCAACTAGCACAGCACAAAGCTCAACCTCAGACACCACACTAAGAAAAAGTATATGGCAGCTCAAGCTAATGAGGCTACAGTGCCTTTGGTTGACTCATGCTCCTGAAAGAGTTTACTTGTGTCTGCCCAGCAGACACACTGGTGGGCTGCGCATTGGTTGCTCTCCCAGACTAACTTTACAAGAAATAGAAAAAAAGGCCAAAACAGCAATTTGAATAGCAGGATACCATAAGTACCCCTAATACACTGAGCAGAGAACAGGTGTGAAAATTAAGGTCAGAGGGATCATTTTATGCTGCACATCTGGTGCTAAAGTCTCACAAGCAAAACCTTTATCTTAAGGTTTGTGGTACGCTTTAAGTTGCATCCAAAGTTACTGCAGCTGAAATCTGGGCTATTATCATTTTGCAGTTTGCTTCTGTTGCTATCAACACAAAGGCTTAAAATGCGTGGGGAGGAAACAATTTTACGTATGGAACTAAGCAACCTACAGTAAGCCACATATTGAGCCACAATGGTCTATTTAATTTTCAGCCACATTTAATGGTTTACTCATGCTACACTATACCATCATGCTCAAACTTCATATTACTAGGATGAACATTTTTAAATTATTTTGATGAAAAAAATGCAGTAGTTATTCAGGCAAACACATAAACCAGTATTACTTACTGCTTCAGAAACCTCTCACATTCATGCAAAAGTTAAAATTAATCTAGATTATATACACATGATATACAATAATACTTTGGGACAAGAAATACCTTCATCGTTACAGTTTCTTTCCCGAAGGGGCAACTGGAAAGTTCTCATTTTTGGATTGCCAAGATTCCCTAAGACAAAAAGTCAAAGGCACAGTTTTGAATAATTTCAAAATAGATACCTAACAGTATTTCATTTTAGAATATTTAAAAATGTTGCAACATTATTTCCAAAACAACAGACTTATTAATAGCAAAATACCCAAAAATCCACCAGACTGAAGGTGAGGTAAAATAAATTTAGTCCACTGTATTCTTCTCAAGACACCTCTTCAGCACATACTACAAGTTACTTAGTGCACTGCACTTAATGTGTAGAGCTAGAATCCAGCACTGATTTGAAATTCCTTCCAATGAAATTCTCTGGATTTCATGTTTCTACTTACCTTGTTCCATTCTAGAATGGAAATACTCTTTTAGAGCTAATCTCTATAATCAAGAAAGCAAGAATTGTGGGACCTTAAGCAGCTATACAAAGTCTTTCTGGAATGAAGACTAAGGGGGGAAGGATTCTTTTCTTAATCAATTTTATGTTCCCAGTACTCTTAAACATTGTTAAAAATCTTTGAAATACTCCAGCACAAATTCCTCCTCAGCCAAGAAAAGGCTTTTCTCAATATCCAATAAATCTTTGTGACTTTTTTGTTTCCGTATCCTGCAGAAATATTTAAGGAGCTTATCTCACACAAATCTACAACTCCTGAAAAGTAATACTGCACCATAAAGGTCTCAGTTACTCAGTTACACATTGATGTCGACAACTGCAGCTGGAAAAGGGTCACAGCATCCAGTTGTAGCCTAGATACTAAAAATTAGAAGTGCTTATGCTAAACCAAATTATTCTCATGGTAAGTACTTACTGAAACTCATAATCCAAAATTAGACAGTAGACTAGTAGGATGTAACAGTACTAGTGGAGTCTGAAACTAAGGTGGAGTGTTGTGCACATTTCCTCAGCAAGACTAACTGTACAGTAGAAAAGCTTTCATTTACAAACAACACATTCTTTGTAGAAACTGTAAGGCAGCAAGTTCAGTATCCTCTTGGTCTGAACACTGCAGAGTGGTCATTTCCATCCTGCAGCACTCTAACACAGATGGTTAATGCACAAAACCCACCATTATGCTGGAATTCTGGATCCTTGAGAGTCCCTTGAATACGATGAGAGGGACTCCACCAAGGCACAGAGGAGCTTTTTGCTGACTTCAGCACAGAAGTTGCAGAGGAATGGTCTTGATGGGCAGAAGCAAGAGGAACTTGCTCATCAGCAACCCTGTTAGGAGGCCATGGATCCTGCCTAAGTGGTAGAGGATCCACAGTTCTCAGCCCAGCAGGTGGAGAGTTAAACAGTGTAACAGTTTTCATTTTCTCATCAGGCTGCAACACAATAGATAGAAGAAAAAAAAGATCAAAAAAAGTACAAAACCCCAGCATCTCATATACAAGCTTACAATACAGATCTTCCCATATGCAGCAAATGTTGGTTTTACGGTGTTACACTTCTCATAAGGGTACTAACACAATAAGTATTCTAAACTTGTGAGAGAGCCTAAAGAAAATCTGTTGCTAATAACAAGTGTTTAACATGGTCTGAAAGTAATCTAATCAGGTCAAACCAAGAGCTTTTTTTCCTCACAAAAAACCTGTGTTTTTAGATTTTAAGACAACATAACCAACTTCTCATGTGATTGTCTGCTTCTCTTTACAGAACTTACTACAGAGGATGTATGCAGTTAAATGGTAGTTGTCTTTGTAGAACTCAGACCAAGCATAACTTAACAAAAAGTATCGCAATTTTGAGAATGACAACTCCTAAATGTTTCTATTTTTCTTTTATTAACTATGCAAGCTGCAAAGTAAAAGCAGCACGAAAGTAAAGGAAAAAAAGAGTGAAACTGTTATGGCACATAAACCTATCTTGTATTACATGTACCCAACCTCTCTCTCTTGAATTTCTTTCAAGTCAAGCAATCATAGAATCACAGAATTAACTGGGCTGGAAGAGACCTCCGAGATCATCAAGTCCAACCCTTGTTCCAACCCCACTGTGATTACCAGACCATGGCACTCAGTGCCACATCCAGCCTCATCTTAAAAACCTCCAGGGACGGTGAATCCACCACCTCTCTGGGCAGGCCATTCCAATGCCTGATCACTCTCTCTGTAAAGAACTTCTTTCTAATATCCAACCTAAACCTCCCCTGGCACAGCTTAAGCCCGTGCCCTCTTGTCCTAGTGCTGATTGCCTGAGAGAAGAGACTGACCCCCATCTGGCTACAACCTCTTTTCAGGGAGTTGTAGAGAGTGATGAGGTCACCCCTGAGCCTCCTCTTCTCCAGACTAAACAACCCCAGCTCCCTCAGCCTCTCCTCATAGGACTTGTGCTCTGGAGCTGTGCCCTATATCAGTAGCTACAGTAACATTAATAAGGAAATCAACAGTTCCAGTAGTCTCGACCTCTTTGCTTGATACCCCCAAAAAATTATTTATTCAGACATGGGCCTTTTTCAGTCACAGATCCTGAGAATTTTAAGATAGCAAATGACAACTCAAGAGAAAGATGTTTTAAACAAATTATTCCCTATTACTTAAATAGTATATTCCTAAAATTCATAATGGGAAGTGTCTTTTCTGGCTCACCCGGAAGGACCTTCTTTTTGAAGGGTCTGTTCCTAAGTCTCGTTTTCTCTGTGGTGAAGGTGAAGACTTGACTTTAGGAGGAGACACTAAAACTGTACCTCCTATTGGAGAAGATGAAAAAAGCTTTATTACATTAAATAACCTAACAAACTGATTAATATATGTTTTTTTTCTTTAGTTCTTGAAATACTGCTTTGCATTTAAAGGTCTTTTTACCAACAGTTGGGGTAGTGCGATCATGATGAGTCCTCTGAGTTCCACCAAGAGCTCTCAGCTTTGGAGTAGGAAGCCTGCCACCAGTCCTTGAGGATACAGAAGAATCTGACACAGTTGCAGAAGTATTCAATTCTAAATTCTCACTGGAAAAAAAAAAAGAGACATTATTAAAGGATTAGCTAAGGATCCTGGAGTCTTGCAATCAAGCTTTTTGTTTCTAATTACCTCCTACAAGGTAGCCTAAAACTAGACAATTAGGGCCATAAAACCCTAGATTCCAGCCCTGGAGCCTCAGTTTCTGTAATTTTTCTGTGTAAATGGATAAAATACATAAATGGTCTCAAGCTGCAAATTCAGGCTCCCTCTGTCCCAATAAACCCTGAATGTATTGCTGCACAACACAGAGACTCAGCAGGAGGGCTGGAAATACTATTCACCCAGAAAAACCTTGAACCTGGTTGCTACCTTTGAGATGGGAGTGTGGGTTTAACACTCTTCAGACAGTGCGGTCGAACTGAAACCAAATATCCCACATGCATGTAATTGCTATAGCCCCCAGGTTATTAAATAAATCAGCACCACCACTTCAGTCTTCTTCCTCCAGGTGCATTTTAAAAGGAGGTGGCAGCACACCCACACTGTGCAAGGAACCTGATCCTATCAGTGCATGCTAGATGCACCTAGGCAAAGAATTCCTTATTTCTACTTCTCAAGAAGGCTTAGATAACATGCAAGTGTTAGGCTGCTCTGCACAGCCAAATCTAGCACACATCTCAGCACACACAGAACCACATTTCAGGATGAGAGAAAACCTTCAACGTCAATCAGAGGCATCAATGAACTGGATAATCTCTACAATTAGATAGAAATTTGGAGGGGTTTTCCACATGATAGTTTTGAAAGCCTGCACTTAATTTCTATTTGGGTCTAGCATCTCAACTTTTCTTTGTCTAGGTTTTGCTTACAGGGTATTATCCCCAAAGGAGATTATCACAGTTCCTTACCTTTGATTAGTGCTGCAACACCAAAAATAAAACCAAATGAGGAATATAAAATGCTTAGATTGCATGGTAACAAGAGCCAAAGTTATTCAGATTTAATTATCTATTAAACTAAAATACTGCTCTAAAAATAAAAAAGTATGCAAAACCTGCACAGTAAAAAGCCCCAGACTTCTGTAACTAAATACAGTTTGGATCTTTGAACTGTCAAATACAGTACTGTGCACATACTGAACTGATCTCTTATTATTTATAAATACCCCTCCACCTCAGTAATATAATGACCAGTGATTACTCGATGCTAATTTTTTTTTTCTCCCAGGTCCTTTATCTTTCTCTATGAATTATTTTTAGAAATAGATGCTTAAGTACAAGATTGGACAATACTCTCAGGCACATGGTATGACTCTTGGGGATGGTCCTGTGCAGGGCCAGGAGTCAGAGTTGATGGTCGTTGTGGGTCCCTTCCAACTCGGCTGATCCTGCAATTCTGTGAAGATCAGCATGTATCCTATCCTTTCACTCCTATCAATCCTTCATTGTCAACTTGAAGCAAATTGTGAGTTTTAATTTTCACTAAACTTGAAATTGGCTGCTGCATAACGAACAGTCTGCTCTAAGAGGCTGGTACTGCAAATGGTATAGTTTTGGAGAAAAACATTAGAATTGTTCATGCATCTACAAACATCTGTCCTGCAAGTTAGAAATCTAGTATTCCTAATGATGGATCCATTTCCATCAACCAGCTCAGTGTCTTAAACTTTCTCATTCCTTATGATACTGCTAAAAACAAAAGTAGTGTCATACCAACTTACACTCTCTTAAGTAAATCCAGTTATAAACCATAAATTAGTTAACCTACAAATTTCTGAGCTGTTAGAGGAAAAATATATATGCATATATATATATATATATATATATACACACACACACATACATATATTTATCACTAAAATGTTCCATTTTACCCTTCCATTTTTGTATCTTCTTCAGCATCCTTATTGTTTTCCTCTAACTGCTGGGTCACAACTGCAGCCTGTTCATCTTGTTTTTCTTCCTCTTCTGTTGATTGACATTTTTCCCTTTCTTCAGTACCTTCTTGTTCATCCCAAACTAAACGTCTTTTGACTGGAACAGTTAAAGCATCTGACGTGTCTTTCCTTCCAGCGCTGTCCTGGCGTGGTTGTTCTCTGGAGTCAGGTTGCTGTAGCCCTCCAGGGCTTGGTACAGCCTCTTTTTCAGAAACTCTAGGGAACAAAGAACGCAGCATCTCATATCACTGATTTGCACAATACGTGTTCTATGTAGAACACATTCATCCAGTTCAGTCCTTCACAACAAGTACAGCTCAGATATTAAAAAGTAGTACAGTTGACATGATGAATGGTTAAATTGCCACTGAAGTTTCAAATGATGTTTAAGCACAACCCATTTTCAAACTAGAGTCTATGAACTCTTTCTAGATTCTCAAATTGCAATGTAAATTAGTGCTCTATTTCTAATTTAAACCACAAGTTAGATTATCATAAGTGCTTAAAAAATAATTATTTCCATACAAAGGGACTCTCTGATGGCATAATTTTAAAAGCCAAGAATTTCAGAAGAGTCCTCTTCAATCACAACTTTTCAAAGTATTAAACTCTCAACTGCTGACAGAAATCAGTGCAGATTAGCCCAGTGCACAGAAATGAGATCAGTAAGAGGATCTGTATTTCACAGGAAAAGAAAACAAACCAGTAGACCACAAAAATTTACACCACATTTAACAAATTACATTGTAATAAATACTTTTTTACCCTTATTAGAGCTACAGTCATGCAAAAGGATAGATCTCTCACACACAAGAAAAGTAGTGTGCATACATCAGTCTACAGTGGACTGTAGAAGCATTCAAGGCTTTGTTCTTAAATATCAAATCTCAGAGAAGACATAAATTACTTTTATTTTCCCTTCCATGTTTCAGCTATTTTACTCTGTACACTTTATTAACATACTAATTCGGAATTTTCCTATCAAGGGAATTAGTATCTGTCAATTCTGACAGCCTTTAAAGAAAGGAGAAAATGGATGTACACTGGATGTAACTTTCTCTTCTTCCAGAAGACTGGACTGTGCCTCATTTTCAGTTTGAGCAAACAGCAACTGATAAATGCCCTCATCTGTTCCAGAGACTTTGCATATCACAGAACTGCAGAACAGCCCAGGTTGGAAAGGTCCTCAAAAGACCAACTAGTCCAACCCTCCATGGGGAAAGAGAGTCTAGATGATTACTGGACACCCTGTCCAATTGCATCTTTAGTGCAGTCAAACATCCAAGATCTCACACATCTGTTGAGCCCACATTCAGAATTTTACTCTGTTTCAAAGCTGCAGAGTAACAGGCAGGAATGATGACCTTACCCAGCAAGATCTAGTGCTCTGATGTTGTTGCTGATGCCTTCTTCTGAACTGGAAGTTGAGGACACATCCCAGAGACTGTTATTATCAGACAGGATCTGATTAAAATGGTATCGGGAGAAGTGTGTTCCCTCTACTCGTTGCCTGTAAGTCTTTGCTCTTTCTCGAAGTTCTCTCACCTATACATCAAGGGTTCATAAGTTGCACGTGTGTTTAAAGTTCACTATTAGGCTACTATAAAGTATGTGCATTAGCTATTGGCAGCTAGAAGAGAAAGGTAAGTTACTCATAATACAGGGCCAGCCACAGCACAAACATTGCATGCTGCAATAAAGGTAACAAAAGGAAAGCAAAAATAACAAAAGCATATACTCAGTAAGCATGTTTGAACCATGAAGCCAAAGCAAAATTGTCAATTACTCATTCCACAAGCACAAAAATTTATGCAGTAACTATGAAAAAATTTAGTGCTGGATTCTAGATTTTCCATCAGCGCTCAGATACAGTGCTCTAAACACTGAAAGAGGAACTTATATGCAACCAACCTCCATATACCACATGGAATTTAGGGTGTTTTGAGATGCCTAAGGAGAAGAATACAGAATTATTTTTAAATTTCTTATTTTTCTCTCAACATTTTATTGTTATTATCACCCTTGCAACTTAACTTCAGTCTAAGTAAGAAATTAAATACAAAAAGCCTACCAACATAGCTCTATGCTGCCTCCCTGAGATTCAATAAAAAGCTCTAAAACAAATACATCAGCACTGGTATTTCACCAGTTTTCTGCCAAGCTTCAGGAAATCAATTTAGATTCCTAAGCATCAGCAAAATACTAAAAAATACATTCACCACTAATTTATGATTATTTTGAGTTAACAGATCTACGTGCATGTGAAATACTGAGTTTGTAGACTGCAAATACTGCAACTGTCTCTAGCTACATTCATCTTAGTGAGAAGCTGATAACTCTTGGAGCTATTGTATGTAAGACGTAATATCAAAATTATTCTTTCTAGGCTTTAAGTAACTGTAAGAATGAGATACAAAACTGTTCAATTTTAGTCTAAAAGAAAAAGGTATAACCCCTCTCTTCAGACATCAAACACTGTAATTTTTATCGTTAAGACTATTTAAAAACACATGCTATCTTGTGTCCTTCATCCAAACACAATTACAGTGCAAAGAGAAAAAGGAAAACCAAAATGTTTATATTTAACTTATTAAAAATAAATTTGTGATATCCTGTGAATTCTAGCATACTAAAATGGTTCACAGGAAATAAGTATTTTGTAAAATATCAGGAAAGTAATACTGACACTTCCACCGGCCCATTTTCCTAGCCTTTCTTTTTTATTCTTCTTTCATGATAGATTTCACATCATTCCTCCTTAGTGGGCTAAATTCTGCTAATCCCACTGAAAGTAACTTGATCCAGCAGATGGATATCCAGCTAATATCCCACAATTTGACCCACTAAACTTGCAAAGAATAGCCCATTAAAAATATATGCCTGTCATTTTCAGAGGAGAATTTAAAGTTTGATGTGCAAGTGATTTACTGGATTACTCACTTTAAGAAGAAGAATGAAAAATTAATTATGATAGCCACAACAGAAGGAATATAAATCCAGAGCAACAGGGTACTGCAGGGGGAGGAAGAATACTATATCTCCAGTGAATTGTGAAAAAGTACAAAGGACAACCATTTCCTTCAGTGACTCAGGAGGCAGCATTAACTCAGCAGGACATGGGCCCCAGAGAGCCCTACTGTATTTATTAATTGCCCACATTAATTTTTCAAAAGCATCATTCAAAGAGACATTTTTTTCATCTGACTGCTGAAAAGCAATGCTTAATAATAAACTGCAGAGAAGCAGTCTAGCAGTAATTACTAAGGTCACACCAGGGTTCTATTATGGCATTTCCCTGTTTGGACTTCAGAAACTCTGCTCTGGACCCAAAGTTACCCATGAGTGGTCCCAACTAAGGCAGAAACGACACTGGATCAGTCGGAGCTTATCATCTAATCACTTCTGCTAAGCCAGAGATGTTCTGTAGGCACCTTTGGTAAGGGTGAGTCTAAACAACTCACCAGATGTAGACGTTAGATACCGTTTTGAAGAACACTTCTCTTCATTAGTATGGGAAAAGGTGTGGAATCATGGAGAAACCAAAAGAACTGTTGCACAACCTGTACTGTAAATAGCCAAAGTACCTTTGTTGCTTTACAACAAAACCAACACACTTGGCACTGTTTTTCAAGTTATGCATACTTTCATTAATCTGCTGTTAACATATTTCTCATATGGCTGGATTCTTTCTTATATCTCAACCATGAATTAAATATTTTATTCAGTCCTCTTATGTTATAGAGTCATAGAATATTCTGAGTTGGAAGGGACCCACAGGGATCATCAAAGTCCAACTTCTGGCCCTGCACAGGACACCCCCAAGAGTCACATCACATGCCGGAGAGCATTGTCCAAATGTTTCTTGATCTCTGTCAGGCTTGGTGCTGTGACCACTTGTCTGGGGAGCCTGTTCCAGTGCCCAATCACCCTCTGGGTAAAGAACCTTTTCCTAACATCTAACCTAAACCTCTCCATGACATACCTTCATGCCATTCCCTCAGGTCCTGTCACTGGCCACCAGAAAAATCAGTGCCCCCCACTCTGCCTCCCCCTGTGAGGAAGCTGTGGATTGTAATGTCTTTCCTCAGTCTCTTCCTCAGCAGTGACCTCAGCTGCTCCTCATATGGTTTTTCCTCCTTGGGACACTCTCCAATAGTTTAATATCTTTCTTATGCCATGGCACCTAAAACTGCACACGGCACTCAAGGTGAGGCTGCCCCAGTGCAGAGCAGAGTGGAACAATCCCCTCCCTCAACTGGTTGGCAATACTTTACCTGATGCCCCCCAGGACACAGCTGGCCCTCCTGACTGCCAGGGCACTGCTGACTCATATTCAACTTGCCATCAACCAGGACCTCCCGGTGCCTTTCTGTGGCACTGCTTTCCAGCACCTCATTCCCCAGTCTATACGAACATCTGGGGTTGTCCTGTCCCAGGTGCAGAACCTGGCATTTGTCCTTGTTCACCTTTATATGGCTGTGATTGCCCAGTCCTCTGATTTGTGGAGGTCTCTTTGCAGAGCCTCCCTGCCTCTGAGGGAGTCAACAGCTCCTCCCAATTTAGTATCATTAGCAAACTTACTTAGTATCTCTTCCAGTCCTGTGTCCAAGCCATTTATGAAGATGTTGAAGAGCACAGGGCCCAAGATGGAGCCCTGTTGAACCCCACTAGTGACAGGTCACCAGTCACCCCATTCACTATTACCCTCTTTGCTTGACCCCTGAGCCAATTGCTCACCCACCACATGATGTGTTTATCCAGCTGTGCTGGGAATTTTGTCCAGAAGGATCCTGTGAGAGACAGGATTGAAAGCTTTACTGAAATCCAAAAAATTACGTCAACTGGTCTCCCTGGATGAACCAGGTGGGTTACCTTGTCATAAAAAACAAATTAAGTTTGACAAGCAGGACTTTCCATTCATGAAGCTGTGCTGGCTGTGACTAATGACTTCAGGTGTTTCTCAGTACCTCCCAGGATAATTTTCTATATAATTTTACCAGTAACTGAAGTGAGACTGAGAGGCCTATGGTTTACAGGGTCATCCAACTTGACCTTCTTGAAAACTGGGACAACATTTGCCAGCTTCCAGTAACCTGGAGTCAACTCTCCAGATTCTCAAGACCGGTTGAAAAAGTCATTAAAGAGAGGCCTTGCAATGACAATCACCCTTGAGCCGAGAATTCTCAGAGGAGCCTCATCAGGTCCCATAGACTTCCAGGGATCCTGTTTGAGTAGCAGATCCCACACAAGTTCAGAGTCAACTGGGAGTTTATCATTTTCACAGACATGGTCCTTCAGCTCAGGGCACTGGGCCCTCCTTAGCCCATCACCAGTGCTGAAAGCAGAGGAAAAGCATTAAAGATCTCTGCCTTGTCTATGCCCATTTGTGAGGCGACCATCCTCATCCCGTAAAAGGTCAGCGTTGTTTCTGCACTGCCTCTTGCTATTAACGTATTTTTAAAAACTCTTATTGTTATCCCTCACAGTACTGTCCAGCTTCAACTTCAACTGAGCTTCGGCCACAGAGATTTTCTCCCTGCAGTGGCGAGCAGCATCTCTGGAGTCCTCCTATGTCAAGAAAATACACAGACTGACTGAAACTTGCAAGAAAAATTGTCAATTTTATGTCGTGTATGACTGAATTCAGCTGACTGCTTTGAATGGATTCAGCATGGTAAGCTAAGAAACTGAGCCTGACTATCAAGCCGATCTAGGCTGATACATATGCTGGCCTTCTCCTTTTATTCCCTTGGAATCTCCTATCATTCAACTCTGTATTTTGAACACTTCTGCTTATTAAAACTGGGCTGAACATCAGTAGCAAGAATATCTGCCAGAAGAGACTCTGTTCTGAATGATTCTGATTGTAAGGGAAACAAAACTCCTCCCTCACTTTGGATGTCACATTAATATATTTTTCAAGTCTCACTATCCCTTATTTTTTCTTATTATGTATTACACTGACTTGTCAGAACCTAATTGTCTTTGTATACTCACCTTTGGGAGCTTGAGTCATTAGCATTACAATCTCAAAACTGTATCTTATAAACATCACAATTTGAAGTTTTTGCATCTAAGAATCAAAATACAAAGCATACTCAGGCTTCAGATTTTCTAAGAGTACTCACCTGGTTGTGAACTTTACTCCTAATACGAGACCAAACTCCATCTTTGTAGAAATACTGGGCGGGTGACAAAAATTTTGACCTATATTCAGTGTTCATCTTCCTAAGAAATCAAGAATAAGGAGAGGAAAAAAAGACAGAAAGGATAAAGTTTGATATCCAGAATACTCTAGGAGCACTTTTAAAGTTACATCAATAAACACATATGTACTTGCACTTAAATGCCAGTGAGATGCGAAAAACACATGCACAAACAACAACTCAAACCAACACAACTAGGAAAGCTGTGAAAAAAACCCTCATTCAGTCGGTGGCCCTTTAAGTTACTCATGTTGTTTTTTTCCTCACAACACTTCTACCTGAAGCTTTTGCCCTGACAGCCAAATCAGAAGAACATGATACATACATAAGCTTCAATCACTTCAATGCAAAGTGTAGCATCTTGATTCAAGTTGCTGGTAAAGGGATATTTAAGTAAAAATGCTGTTTTGGCATTAATGTGTCTGAGAATTTCCTTCTATGAACTCCACTTTAAAGGCACTCTGAATATGGGTGGGGTGAACTGCTGAGGCTAGAAACATCTGACTGCCAGAACACTGGTCAGTATAATTCATCTAACCACGTCCTACTGGCTTTGATCTTCAAAACGCCTCAGTACTTGAAAAGATGGGTTTATTTTCCCTTCCGCCACACACATACATACACAGAAAAATTAACATCATCTAACCTATAGTAAGCAACAAGTAGTACTTCAAGTCCTTAAGCACTGAACTGTGGACATATCAGCTTAAATCTAAAGACATTTTTGGTTTTAATCTTGCTTCAGAACATTACTAACTTATTTTAATATATTCAGCATTGGGTGAAAAAGCCCTCTTTTTAAATCCTTCTTCAGAAATAGGTCATAAAAGCCTGAAGCCAGAGAATAAAAAGTACCTTTTCAAAAGACAAATACCAAGGTCACAAACCCTTTATACTCAAAATTTCTTTCAGTATGTCCCTTTCTTTAAAACTGACAGAATTTCTTCAGTTTTGGTTGCAAAACTAATGGATTAGCTCAAAAAAACACATCATTGCTATGCTTTGATTGCAGTCACTCTGCAAAAGCAGGACATGCAACACAGCTTGCATACAAAGGGTCAATCCCATCTGCACATTGAGAACTTGCACATTTTGACAGCTATTTGCCCAGTGATTTTTTAAGAAAAATTTGTCTTATGCTACCACACTGAAGGCTTAAGAGGAAGAAATTTACCCTTAAATGAAAAGAGCCACAGCATCTGATCAAGAATTTTACACACTACTCACTGCAAAATTGACTACAATCCACCACATCAGAGCGCTAAGAAAACCAAAGAGTTAAAGATTTTAGCTTTACTATATCTGCTTACTTCTTCATAAAGTAATTTTATTTCACAGAATTTTGTGTTATTATTTTGTAATCAACTCCCACTATCCAACAGCATTCAGAGTCAGGTAAGTATCCTCTCCCATTCTTAATTTAATGCCTTAACACTGCCAGAAAGAAAGCAAGCAATCGCTGGGACATATGTTAAGCACAAAGACAGGAGAGATGGTTAATTTCTGCATTTTAAAGCCCACATCTATTATTGCCTTTTATTGCTTTTGACATATCTCAGATGTCTATAAAATCGAAACGAGTTCAATTCCTGCACTGTAGGCATGTGGCAGAAAAAAAAGATAATTCGATAGCACCCAGTAACACACAATTTCATTTCATTTCCATGCTTGTCAGATTACCCTAAATGGGACAGATCTCTCTACTTCTCTTTACCACCTGTTTGCTTTTGTTATTCAGGGACAGAAGGCATTAAGGACTAGAAAAAGCAGAGATCAAGTACTATCTCCACAGTTTTAAGGTGTGGAGCAAGCACAGGAGAGCAGTTTGAGAGGTGACTATGACTTCTGAAGGACTTGCTAAAAGTGTAATAGCAGCACTGCACCACTTAAATTTCATTCATGTTAAATTAATTAGTAATATTATTATTGCACCACAAGGTTAAACTGGAGTGGCTACAAAGCTTCCACTTCTGTTGACCAGAGAAGAGGATGGAAATTAACACCAGGCTTAGATGTACCCCCAGGACACTCAGTCCCAGAGCTGCAAGGGGGCATTTGCCCCTACAACGGTAGCACGGTGTGGTTAAAGCTTCACTGTCCATCATTCTAAATATTAGGCTGCTGTACACCTACTTACTAGTCTAGGTTTTCCTACTTTATACATACCCACGACTTGTATGTAAAGAGAGGGGTTTTGGACTGATATGTTGCTTATTTTTTTGTTTAGGATGTTTCTGTTCTGATTTCCCTTGTTTTGCTGCATCTTCTGCTGGTTTTTGAATCGGTTCTTCCCTCTTACTCTAAGGCAAAGATAATTTTAAAAATACCATATTAGCTAACAATCTGAAAACCCTCATATTTCTTTTTGACATCAAGCTTTTGCAAATAGTTAATTTTATGTTAGTGTTAGCTATTTTGCATATTTAATACAAACAAAAATATCACATTGCTTTGTTAATACAAAAATAAACTAACAAAATGCCAAAGCTAAGTCTCTGAGTACAACGTTCAGTTAGTTAGATGATTCATTTGGTACACTTCACAAAATTACCATGAAACACGGAAATGAAATAATACAATACCTGCACATTCTAACCTGAGTCCAAAAGGCAATTTTTTTTATTTCCTGCCATCATGTTTTACAAATATGAGATTGATTTGTTTGGTTTTTACATGAAATATTCTTTTCTCCTGATTTATTTTATTCTGGAAATCTCATGCATGACTTCTGATTCTGCTAGAGATCCTCACAGATACTGTTCAAATTCAAGGAAAAAAAAATCCCACCAAAATCCCCCAAAACCCTTTCAATATACTAATCAGAGAAGAGATACTGGTATAAACAACAGATTTTTTGGACACTTTCACCAAAATTCCCTTCTCATGACTTCTCTTACTTCACTGTATTAGTTGTTCTCAAAAAACAACCCAAAATTGCAATATTAAAACCAGATAAATGTTTCCTGAAAGCCTCAGGCTTTTCAAGCTTCCATTGTATCTGCTAAAAGAGGCAAAAGGGGATATAAAATTCCTCGTGGGGATTTAAAGCACTGGGTAGGTCTGAGTTTTATATGACAAAACCTCCAAGCCAACATCACCTCAGAAGTACCAAGGGCTTTAAACTAAGCCACAGGCCCTGCATATTAAGTACTCGTTTTGCTCAGTAGTGGCCCTAGGGAACATGTTGTCTGACAGTGGCATCTTCTGTTTGATCAGGAACAGAGATGAGTAGTGAGGAGACTCATTTGTGGTCCTTGTACCTTTAGGATGGTTAGCTAGCCTGCAGTTTAGACAACACTACACTTGGCAGCTTGCTACAAAAACAAACATTCATACACCCCCCTTGTAAAACAGGTTCAGTCATGTACTCCAAATTGCTCTCGCCTATTTTTAGAAGGTCTCAGTCTGAAACAACTCCATTTCATTTCATGTATCTTGTAAAAATGACATGGGCATGTTTCCTAAATGTCCACTTAAGTCTGCACAAGTCAACAGCAAGACAAGGAAATGCAAGACAGCAAAATTTTCATAAAAGACATTTTAATATTTAAAATTTACTTTAAAACATGTTTTAAAATTGTTGGTTTAATGTCTTTTAAAAAAAGAACTTTAAAACTGTCTTTTACTCTCACAAAAGACATTAACATTTTGAACTGAGTAACAGAATCTACACAGGCTACACAATGTCCTGTTATAGCCCGATACAATTACTTACCCTTTCAACTTATCACCACAGATTAACTGTAACCCTTCCTGCATGTATCTTCAAATGACAACTATTGGCTGAAAATCAGTTCCAACTGTGACAACTTTCATACATCAAAATTACTTTTTCTTTACACTATCTCTAATTTATGACATCCAAAAAGTACCAGACCTTTCATTTAGCCCTCCTGACACCAAGAGACAACACTGATACCAATGAGAGTATAAATCAGAGATTTAGACTTCAGACACTGTCCTAATAACTAAAAACAAAGTTTCAATTGGAAATAAAAAAATTAAATCTTTAAAAAAATAAATGAAACCACTTGAAAACTCAGAAAAAAACACACTTAAAATTCCATTGTAAACTGAAAAAAATGAACTACAGAAACTACATAACCCACTACAGAAACCCCAAGGAGCAGAGCTGTACAGTGTTATTTTCAGTCTTTTATAACAAAACCACTATTTAAGTCCAGTGTCATTAGTAACATCTCTACAATGTAACTAAAAACTTTCAAAATAAACCCACCCCATTACAGAATAGATCAAAACTATATAAGTACTACTAAAGCCTTTCATTCGGGGAAATATTTACTTGTTCAGAAACCGGAAATTCTTTCTCTTCTGAAACACCTCTCTCTTGTTGCCCCTTAACAGCAGGAGACCCTTTGAAATTTCTCTCATATGCAGCTTCAGAAGTAATTGCAGGAGATTTAACCATAGGTGTGGATTTCCTTGTGTTGCAAATAACCTTGGGGAGAGAAGGAAAACAAAGAAAAAAGTGAGATTTGCTTACCTCGATGCTAAATTTTCAAAATCTGTTAAATGATTCATGCCAATATCCTCATGTATCAGCAGAGGGACAGTCATCTGTACAAATATAACATGTGCAGACTAATGAACTTGTAGGACCAAATCCAAGAAAAATTTAATCTGATGAAGATAAATTTAAAAGTGATCAAGTCAGACACAGTTAAATCTGTGATCAAATGCTGTTCTTACTGAAGTTTACTATCAAGAGGTTTTGTTTATTTGGGAAGACAGTTCACCTTCAGAGTTATACGTACAAGAGTCCTCAGTACATGTCAAGTCCATAAGTAACAGACAACTGCTCTGTGTTCTAAAGCTAGATGCTTAGGGTTGGGTAAATTAAAATCCAGTATTTTCCCATCAATATAGCATTATAAACCAGGGTAGAGAATTTGCCTGATATGTGGTCATGTATCAACCCTTCAGGGGGTGTTGAATTTAAAGACCATGCCATATGTGACAAGCATACATTTTCCTCAGCTTTGCTATGAGAACTTGGGTCTGACCTATAACCTAACTTGGATGACTGAGATTTTCACTGAATCTCTTCAAAGGAAAAGTACTGTCATTATTCGGTTTTCAGGTATATTCTCTGTCACATCAACATCAAACAACATTAATTTGTTAATATGTATCATTTTTATAATGAAATTTTCTCTAAGTTCTATTTATCCACAGATGTATAGTGCCTACAGACTTATTCTCACTGCTTCTTATTCCGAATAAGCTACGAAAAAAAAGTTTGCTATCTTAGATTTCGAAGTCTATCCTCTGAAAAAGGCAGATTCACAAGCACCAATAATGACATTATCAAACTGATTTCACACAAAATCAAATGGAATTCTCTTTGAAATTTTCCGTAAGGTGACTTTCTGGGACCTGCCTCTTTCTCAAAAGGTTTTTTGACTCCTACACTACCGTCACACATTTCAAAGAGTTCTCCTTGGATAAGGGACTGCTGGGAAGCATATCTTGTAGTAAATCCACCTGCTTGGCACTTCAACAATTACAGTGACTGATCTCAGGTATCAACATTTACTTCCCCTGAAAGCTGTTACTGAAAAAATCTGCTACCTGTGGATAAAAAGAGAGAGTGCACCATCTCTAGTAATTCTACTAATAGAAGACAAAATAAAAGCAGAAGTACCTATTTTATACTATAAAATGACCAGAAGACAGACCAAGTCTCTCAAGTCCCAATCCCAGTAACAATTAATTGAAAACACAAAGTAGTCTCACAATCAGTTACTCTCTGCAGTCTGACTAGAAATAGCATTTTCAACCCTAAAAACACTCAAAAGCTCATGATATGTATTAAAATGCCAGAAGAGTATCTTAAAATTGGAAGACTCCACTTTTAAATATAAGCTGTTCTCATGAAAGAAAAAAGAACACTGCAGGGATGCATTTTAGGGCTTAGAAGTACATGTGCACAGAGATGGAGACTGAGAATGAGAAACTGTGGCAACACAGGTAAATGCAAAAACACACTAATGCAAACAAGAAAATGGTCCCCGAAGAAAGAATAAAGTACAATCAGGCATAAGAAGAACAAATAATTAGACCTGACCACAATAAAGAATCACATGGAAACAAATCCCATTATAATGCACTTTTGTACAGTGAGAGAGAAAAAAAGAAATCATGTAACAACATTAAAGTTTGTTGTTCCCCCAAAAAAGGAAAAACACAAATCTTGGAAGGTAAGCAACTTTGCGGATACATAAAAGAAAGTATTAATTTACTGTTTGGATTGTTTAAAGTTACCTGTTCAGCTGCAAGTATTGGTGACTTTTCATGAGGACTCTTCCAGACAAATTGGCTTTGATATTCAGAATTTCTGGGGAAAGTATTTAAACGTGAAATATTCAAGTCTGCTTTCCTCTGAAGGGCTCTGTGAAGCTGATAACATAAAAGAAGAAAAAAAATAATAATCACTGTTTCCTTTCCTACAGTGTTTTACAAGTCAGACACCTTTCAACACACATTCAAACCAATGGTTGGGGTTTTGGATTTATGAACAAAATTAATGCAAAGTACAGTTTCTCATTACAGTCCTCAAGCCTAAAAAGTCTACATATTATTGGCTAATTTAATTGAAAACAACAGTGATGACACATGAAGAGTGGATTCCTATTGAATTAAGTAGCACCAAAATCTGATCTCAAAAGTACTGCTCTCCCCACAGAGAAGCTACAACATAGAGTATCAAAATACACAACTGAAGAAAGAGTTAGACAAGAGAGTCTGAGCACGTGCGTGAAAATACTGTTGGCAATTTTTATACTGGTCAATTAAAAAAAAAAAATCCCTTACCCCATTACTCAACTTTTCTAATTCCTTTTTCGGAGATGAAAATGCTTCATTTTGATTTGGTGGAGCTTCAGGGGGTGATTTCTTCATGTTGTTATTCTCTGCAAGGGCAAGAGCTGTTTGACTGCTAGAATCTACCAAATGTGACCGAACTTTTGGGAGGAGTCTGGGTCCTTCTAGTGTTTCAATTTCTTCATGATTCACATCATTATTGTTGTGGTCTGTGTGCAACTCTGCACCTTCAGGTTCAAGTGGGTCATTCAAATCACAATCTGCTGTCCATTCAAAGGACTTCGAAATCTGTGGATCATGGTAAGGTACCCTTCTCTTGGAAATGAATTTTGGTTCTCTCGTGATTCCTGAAAAATAACACATTAGGTTTAACAAAATCATTCTGTTGAGGGCATAATATCACTCTGTTACAATAATAAAGTGAAAGTTCATCATACAACTGATTATTAGAAAGCAGTATTTTAGTATCTTTGAGCAATGACAGACTATGAACTATGGGCATGGCTGCGAAGTTCTGTGTTATTTCATATCTGAAAACGACTTTCCACTAAAAAGACAGGAACATGGTGCTGCAGGTGAATATTGGACAAAACCCTACAGAGCAAAACTGTCCACAGGACAATCTTATGCAAGTTGATTCTGGGAGATGAACAAGAAGAAAACTAACACAACCACTGAAAAGAAGATGGCTAACGCAGATAGAGAATAACCAACCTGCAGCAATAAATTAAGCTATAAGCACTTCTCACTATACATGCACAACATACCTTGCTCAATGATTGTGACATATCCCCATCCACCTTGCAATTTAGGACCATCTCAGATACCTGGTGACTTTTTACAGTATGAACACAAAAACATTTCCAAAAATAGAAAAATACTGTATAAGAAAACCAGGTATCAAGTTATTTTTAAGAATTGCTGGCCTTTATATAGATAGGTGAAAATAAAATTACCCCACCACTTTAAGAAGAGTATTGAAATGACTGAACATATTCAAAAAGTTAATCCACTTCAAAGTGCCCAGCTGTGATGGAAAAGTAAGTGAAAGTCATGCCTTAAAGAAATACTTTCTAGAGGAGAGAGAGAGAGAGACACTCCTATCTCACGAAGAAGCAACATAGACAGAACCTACAATGAAAGGTATACAGAATGTCTGGATGTCTGACTATACGTAAGGGGACAGGAAATAATTCCAGTGGCAAAACACCGGAAAATTAGCAGAAACAATCTGTGAGCACCTGCAGTTGTGAACTTTCTGCGGTGATGTTCCAGGCGATTCCTAAAATTGCCAACTATGTGTTTCAACAAGAAGAACCATAACTAAATTACCAATAACAATCTGCCAGTCCTATGAGGTGTCAAAAGTTCCATTTAAAGATATAGTGGTTTAATGGTGGGAAAAGAAAATTAACACAAATATATAGAAAAACTAACCAAGCATGCACAAAACCACCACTACAACATCAGAAAGAGGAGGAACTGCTGTATTGCTAACTCATGAGTTTAGTGCAAGTCTTGTAAAATTTGCAGTTTTGTTTGACTGGAAAATAAGCATAGATTGCAATTTTAAAAACAAGTTGGCGTGTTTGGACGCTTAAGCATTTCAGAATTCGTGAAAATTATAGTTCTCAATACAAGCACCCACACACAGACCCATGTGCTAGGGAAAGCAAGGTTAAAGAAAGATATATTTTGCAGTAATGGAAGAAAGCACTAATACACATAAAGCATAATCTTTAGTAAGATTAAATTATTTAGTGAAATTTCTTCCATCTTGACTAAAAAAACCCTACTCCCAGTAGTTGGTTCCTAATCAGTAGACAATAATTTAGAACACTTATCATATTGTAGGAATCAATACACTGTACTCTTAATTACATAGACTGCATAGTGCAGTTGCACTGAACTGTGTAATTAATTTTTTTTAATTTGCCTCGTGCCACTACGATAATTGCTATTTTTTACTACTTCTTTTCAAAGCGTCACAGCTCGCATCACTGTCCATCACTTATTCCTACTCAACTCCCTACAGGTCTTTCCATCCAGATGCTATTTCGTTTGTTTTCTACTTCCTATCCCCACATCTATCTCCCTGCCATGACAATGCCTGCAATCCTTAAGTCCTAGACTACAGCATCACAAGCTTTTCCGTTTAATGATTGCCCTTTTCTTTCAGCTAGCTGTACCTGTTAGTCTTCAGAACAATTTTACATTGTATCAAACCTTGTCCCAAGTTAGTCTCACCTGAAATACCGAATTCTATTTACTGTTTCCATACACCATAGGTAACCCAGTATCATCCTCTGCACAGCCTGTATGGGTTAACAAGGCAACTGTCTGGGCTTTGGCTTATGCTGCCAAAAGTCAGAAACTACTTTTTTTCAGGGTTTATATAAATAGCACTAAAAGTTTCAGTGTGGCAAGAAAAAATACGGAGTTAAAAAACATATGTGAAATAATAACCCAGGAATACACTTTTAACTGTACAAAGTGCACGAACTGCAAACACAACCAGTTACTGTGGCCATGCACTCATCACAGCAAACCTTTCTGGGCCTTGGCTGCAGTCAAGGCACGCAGCTTCCACGGGCGCTTACCAAACTGATCCGACCGCAGTCCTGCCCACAAGGATTTCTGCGGGCTACAAAATTCCGGGCTTCTCCATTTGAAGTTTCTCTTATATTCACTCAGTCCCTGCAGCAAACAGAGAGGAGTCTGTCAAGCCACCGGTGCATAATCCTGCTCCGCTGCTCCTGTTGGTAACAGATCTCCGAGAGGGAAAAACACCAACACGCTGATACGGGATAAGCTACGCCGGCAGGTTGCTCTGCATCTTCCAAAACCACCCCCATCGGAGAACAAAAACTACTGCATTTCACGCACCAAAAAATAAAAACAAAAACACAAAACCAAAACAAACAGACAAAAGAACAAAAACCCAACCCTTATTTACATCTTTAGGCATACAGTTTCAGGAACAAACACAGCCTGGACCCGCTGTCACCTGCACGACCGAACTGTTTATGTCTTTATTGGCCGGTGCCCGTGACGCAGGGGTCTCCCCTTTCCCACAGAATCGGCCGCACCCCCGTTCCTGCCGCCCCCCGGGCCCGCTGTCCCCTCCCGCCTCACCCCGAACCGCACGGGCATGGCTAAGCCGCGGCCACAGCCCCGCCGTTCGCGGGCCCGACACGGCCCGGCCCGGCCCGGCTCCCCTCGCCTCCCTTCGCAGGGCGCCTGCGCGGCGGCCGCCGCGGGCGGGACGGGAAGGCGCGGCCGCGCCGCTTCCCCGCCTGGCCCTCCCCTCAGGGCCCTGTTGGCCGGGGCGGCCGCCGCCTCCTCTCCTGGCAGCGCAGTCCTCGGGGCCGCGTTGTCCTTAATAAAAGCCCGATCCTGCAGCTGTGGCCGGATAATGGCGCTGTACGGCCAGCGCTGTGCGTGTGTGGAAGCACAACGGGGAGGTACCCAGTGCTAATGCAGCTCAAGGCCGGGGGGATGTTGAGCGCCCGGTTGCAGAAAAATCACGTGTTCATGCACGCAGCTTTGTTTTGGTACAAAAATAGCGTTTAGAGAAAGGAAAAAACAAGACTTCTTACCCTTCTGGAGCCTATGCGATGCCGTGCCAGCGGCTGGTCCGCCTTCGCCACCTCACCCGACCCCGCCACCCGGTCAGGAGATCCTAATCCACCTTCTTGTTCAGATCTTTCCTCGGGGGTCCCTTTTCTGATGGCCTTCCCCCTTTTAATCTCCATCCTGCCTGGCTATACTGTATATAAAAAAAAATTAAAATAATAATTAAAAAAATAATAACTGAGAGGGTGGTAAAAAAAGTGCTCGGATAGACGTAGTGACCCAAACCGGTCCAGGCAGTCTTGTTTACATCCCCGTTGCCCCTGGCTGCTGACCCTCCCCTGTGCTCCCTGTTAGCAGAGCCTGCTGCTGGTCGCTGATGCCTCTAGAGCTGCGTAAGCTCTTTGAGCAAGGGCTTTGTCACTTCTGTCTCTGCAAAGCACCCTGCCAGACGCGGGAGGAATGTCAGTGCCAGTCCCACCGACTCAAGCAGAGTTCAGGTCTAGTGGGACTCTCTGTAACTGGTGAGCAACAATTTTTTACTGCCGATGTGAGACAGAAAGCACCAATCTGTAATGAAAAGCTTGCAAGCAAAGTAAAATGTTCTTCTGCGATGTGAACGGTGGTGGAGGAACAGAAGAAATTTGCTGTGTTGATAGAATTTCCAAGTTTCACACATCTTTACTGAATTTCAAGATCATGACAACTATTTTTTTAATAATTTACTTCCTGATTACACTTGAAACTGCTAGGTCCACCAAATAAAGTAGTTTGTTTTGTTATTACAGTGATTTATTTTGTAATGTTCAAGGGGGTCTAGTTCAGTACATTTTCTACTTTTGTGCATTACTTTTCAAATGAAAAAGCCAGCTGGCAAATATCTTCTTCAAAATACAGATTCCAGGTTTGCCAGGAATCATCTCTCCTCTTTGATATATATGGAAACCAGGCCAAACATAATTTCAGTGAGGTTTTAGGGTGTTTTTCAATTACCATACTATAATAATGCTTTTATAGATGGTTTGGGGTTGTCTGTATTTGGAGATGAATTTGATTCTTTAGTGCAGAAACATAATAGTAGGACACATCCTGAAATGCAGATTATTATATGTATTAACAATATCTTTCTCTTTTTTCAAGATAAAATGCAATCAACTATCCTGAAACAAGGGAATTCACATTCCGCTCTATGCACCAATTGATTTAAATTGAATTTAAATAAATCTCCTTATAACTAATAGATAAGAACAGCTTATGTGGGTAAATATGGCAACCACTGAACTACCTGTATCTTTACCTCATGTTCTTTATCACTGCTGATGTATACCAGCCACTTCAGGTTCAGTGTGTACACATTGCTGAATATACAGTTATTCAAAGTTATATGATGTAAGAATGCTAAGATCCTTGGGCCAGTTACGGTATTTTCATATGAATGTTGAATAAATAATGAAAGCATAAAAATGGACCCATGCGTAGGAGAAGTCACATTGCATTCACAAACTCGCAGTCTGGAAAAGAAGGAAAAAATTGTTTCCAGCTTTCTGGAAAATGAACTATCTGCAACTGATGTAAATGTGCATCCCTGAGTAACTGGTCTGTATCATTTACTGGTTCCCATTGTTTTAAAAAACACAAGCATTTAAAGCTTATGTTGCTACATAACACATCTAAGTAGTTTTGAATTCAAGTCACTTCACATTTCTGTAACACTTGAGAGGTTGACTGTCTTCCTCCTTTTTTTCCTATAAAGCAAATGTAAGTATTTTAATTTGCCTTGCTGATACTTACTCCAGATTTAGATCTTTTTGTTGCTATTCTCCAAATGAATCAAGAGATGTGGTTTCTTTTTGTAAACCACATATGAAAATTCTTTTGATTTTTTATGTGTATAATTTCAAATGAGTAATTTGTGAGCTATAAATTTTTCATGTTGTTTCCTTTGCCCATTAGCTTCACTACTTCTTGCTGCATGTCCAGACCTTTATCTTTGACCCTTTCTGACTCTTGACCCCAGCTTTCTTGAGTCCTGACTTCAAGTGCTTGAGCAGCTTTCACTTGAACTTCAGCCTGTGGATAGCTAATTAGTAGGTCTAACTAAATAGGGACCTTCCTATGACCTGTTTCTCTTGCTGCTTGTAAACTCATATACCACAGGCAACCCTGCCTTAAAGAGCTGATAACCTGAAGTCTCTTCTTTTTGTTTAACATGGGTGGTCTCTCCTGCCAAAACTCAGAGCATGATGTATCAGCAACCCTCCCTCCAGCCAAAGAAGGCTAGATGCAGCTTGCTGTGAAGCCTGACAACTCCACTCCATGTGTCAGCCTGAGGGAAGCAAATGAGAGCAATGCAACTTGTTTTCTACCTCCAGAGTCTGTAGCCTCTGGCACCCACTGGTACAGGAACAAAGGAGGAGCAGTAGCACAGCTGGCCTGGCACAGGTCCCATAGTTTTACGCTTAACAGCAAAAGTTTCTTGTGCAGACTTGTCCTAGCTTATTTTACAACTCATTTAGAAACTGCAGTGTTAAAACTACTTTAATTTTAGAACTCATTTCAATCCCCTTTTCAAGTGACTGAGCTGATGCAGCAGTCATTAAAGGGCACTGTTTTGTTGCTTACAGAGGTCTGGATTTGAAGATATCTTGGCTTCATGTCCTTGAGCTTGGCAAAAGCATTAACCCTTATCATCCTAAACTAGTCTGTCTCTCTGGTACAATTTCATTCTGAATTGCAGAGAAGCCTATATAGTTCTTCTTTACAACTGTAAAAGAAGTCATACAGTGAACATGAAATACGGACAGATAGGTCCAACTCTCAATCCAGCATCTACTTATTTGTGCACTGAATGCTGTCCTTAGGGCAAAACACTGTCAAAAGTGATGGCTGCCTTTGAGAACTTACTTTTTAACCCCAGGGCCAGACACAGACAGCAGGGCTTTCCATAACCAGGGGCTGCCAACCTCTGTGGCAACCCAGAGTGATCTTGAAACTCTAAAATGTCTCAGATCAGACCACTTTTGAAATCAGCATCCTTAGACTGTGATTCCTCCGTCTTTAAAGTGAGAATAATGAGACTCCTAACCATAGTTTGGTATCTCCTAATAAGGAGCTTTTTTTATATATATAAAAGCACAAGATAATTTTTGAATAGTGATTCAGGTTCAGAAGCAGAACAGAGTGTGTGTTCTGCTATGTCATATTTGTGTAGCTGATGCAAGGGCAACAGTGGCTAACTTAATTTTTTATATTAGAAGAAGGAAGGTAAGAGAGCATGTGTCATTTGATCTAATTCTGGTCTAACGTTTGCCTGAAGAACACAGTGAAACCAGAGCTGCTCATTCTTAAGCAAAGAACCTTGCACCCAGCTTGTAGATATAAACAGTGATTTCTGTTTCTGTAGGAAGCATAGGGCATTACTTTGTGATATTTGTGCAGTTCTATGTGCTCAGTCATTACCAGTCTACATGGCTGTTCATACTGTAGAAATAATCTCCTTTCTGTTTTTAAAGTGCAAAAGATTTGCACAGTGCAATAGCAAAATTGTGCAGTGCTGGCATAAATAATCTGTTCTGACAACCCCTCAGGGAGTAACTCCTGTTGGCAAGATGTGTATGTGTAATCCCAGGATGGTCTGATGCCCTGGTAACTGCACTGTAACAATGGAAAGAAGAGCTGGGCCTCTAGTACCTCATGGATTTGGTGGGCAGGCTCAGCTGGGTTGGTAAGGTAACGCAGCTCAACTTCAAAAGGGAAAGCAAAGCAGCTAACAGTCGTTGCAAGAGGGCCATCTGCTAGACGACCAAATCTCTCTATGATGTGTTAAGGAAACATTTTGTAAGAGAGGTGCTGAAGTTCCTACTGAATGAAACTTTTTTTCTTACTTTGCTCTACATGCCGTTTGGAACAATAACCTGTCATCACACATGCATACATCAGTAAGAAATCACACTTCCATGATGCTGACTCGCAGCCGTTTAGAAGGGAAGACTTATTAAGGGAGTGGCAATTAACCAGACTGTCTGAAGGAAATTGTCCTTTACATTTTTGAAGCCAGATGTGAGCAGCTCGCTCTCTTCCCTACTGCTCTGGGCAGCGTCCTTCAGGAGGCGGACAGATAGAAGTCTATTTCAACAGCCCTGTAGGACAAAATGAAAATGTTCAAACAAGTTCAGGTTTTGTATGTTTTGGTCAACACAGTTCATCTGGCAGCACTGTGGTAAAGGAACGTCTAAATATTGTTCCTGCTTTGGTAACAGTGATCTGTCAGTGCAATTCGCCACAGTGTCTGTCATCTGTGCTGATATCTGTATCCATTCTCTAAAAAAAAGGTGGTAATCCAATAGAGTCAAATTATGTAAACCTGCTGTGGTTTATAGTACAGAAAATTGAAAGAGGCATTATTAATAGCTTCAAATACACTGTACCAGTAGCTGTAACAGTCTTGAGGACAGACTAGTAAGGAGACAATCAAAGAAGAAATAACTTCAGCACCCAGTGCTGAAAAAGCCAGTGGCATTTTCATAGATCATATATTCTTCCTCCTTTTCAGGAACCCATTCCCTGTATATAGAAGGGCTAGCTCCTCACAGATAGCTTGTTACACCCTTTCCCTTACTGGTGGCATCTGGAAAAGTTACATATTCTGCTGCAGGATGCGTTTCTTGGGTCACTGCAGCAGCTTATGGTGAGGGTTTTCTCAGAGACACATAATTATTTTTATGAAGGGGAAGTACTTCTCAAGATCCTGAACCATATCAACTTTTTTATCTGTCATTTTATCCATTAACCCTCTAGTAACTGCAATGCAAGTCTCCTTCTTGTTCTTGTTTTCTTTTTTTAAGTAAAGTGTCATCAGAGGGCAAGTGCTTACTGGTACTGCTTGCTCATATACCTTTACTAAACACAGATCAGACTTTGATTCTTCTTTTTCAGTGTGTGCCTCTTTCCTCCTGACTCCTACCAGCCCATAGGATTGATAATGCTCCAGCAGTTACATATGCAAACCTACCTTTATTCACAAACTACAAAAACTGTTAGGTATTACCGTGCCAGCTACATCACATCTCGGAAAACCAGATGTGATGTACACAATTACTTGACTAGATCCACTGCCTTCTAATAAGGCATTGATTGAGGTACCGTAGCAGATGTTCCCAAATTGTGTTCATGCATTCCCCTCAAGTATGTATACTT